ACTTACTCTGTAGCTTTCTCAATACATAAATGTCTGTTAAAAAATTATATTCACTCTATTCACTTTATAAACATGTGTATAAACTAATTAAGTTCCAGCCTCAAAGTTATAACGTGACATATGAAATATGTGGTTGGCCATTTTTCGACATATAACGAGTTGCTAGGAAACCTCGCAATAATTTTTGATTTGCATTATAGATTTCTTTTTCAATAATATTATAATTTTTGAAAATGAGTTCCAATATTAAGCAATAAAGGGCACTGGCCTTATTAGGTACGTGGCCTTATTTGGATCAGGTACCTTATTTGAAGATGCTTAATAATAAAACTAGAAGAAACTGAAGGTAGAAAAATAAACTGAACATCAACAAGTAAATGATAAATGAAAATAAATATCCTCACCTAGCATTAATATTTTTCAAGAGTCATTTCTAGGTTGAAATCCTGAATTGACACAAAAATTGACGGAAAAATAGAACATGCGCTAATCCGTCAATAAATTGAGAGAGAACTTGGACAAGTTAAATTGCTGCTAATTTGGCGTTTTACATTATCAATATTTCTTGACAAGCGACTTGATCAATAAATTGACCAATAAATTGTCAGTGTAAAACCGTCTTAACAACATATTTAAATTTCATCCAAATATCACACACAGGTAACCAATTTCTGCTCAAATATTGCGGAGTCCTTTGACCATTGTCAGAAATCCCATAAGAAGTGTGCAAAATGGGGTATCTTCCTTATCAGAGGCGGCTAGGGAAATAAATCAATAGCTCATTGGACATCTTTGCAGGGTTGGCATAGAATTTCCCCAGGTTATAAAACCCAGTAGGGTTTTTCGGGTTTTTTCAATTGATAAAACCCACCAATATTGGGTTTTTTCAAAAATAGTAAATTTTCAGTTGAATGAGCGTCATTTTCACAGGAAATATCAGGGATTCCCTGATGATTCTCCAGTCCCTGGCTTTTCGCTGTTGGCGTTTGGTGTGGAGGTCTGGGCAGGGACTCCGTGCCATGTAGAATTTAGAATTCTGTCGATATGTAGAATTCTACATGACTGGAATCTGGAGTCTCTGGGCTAGCCAGCCAGAGGCGTGGTGAAGTGCACTGATGCCAAGTGTAATTATTTATATCAAGTGGCTTGCTTTATTTTGTAAGGGTATTTTGTTTTTGCAACAAGAGTCATAATTTTTGTAATAGTTTTGCTAGAGCAGAAACCGAGGCAGAAAGTATAAATCAAATTTGAAGAAAAAAAACGAACCGCCCTGGGAAGTCTGAAAAAAACCCATAAAAACGCAAAAAAACCCGACGGGCTGGACTTTTTCAAAAAAACCCGGGTTTTTTCCAACCCTGCATCTTTGTGATCACTCTTAATTATTCTATGAAAATTCCAGTGAAACATCTTAAAAAATAGAAAAAAAAATCAATTTGTTTATTATGTATAGGGGGGAGGGTAAATTAAGGCCCATTCCACTCTTATCTTATTCTGTAATAGTATTTTACATTATTAGCCAGGTAAAACAGTTTTTACTGGCGATTGAAGGAAATGACTAGCGAGCCGCCAGGCGAGCTTGTCACCTTCAAGAGCCAGTAAAAACTGCTACCTGGCGTATAATGTACAATAATTTATTTGTTACTCATTTGTAAAAGATATAGGGACAAATAAAAAATCAATACATAACAAAAATTTGAAATTTATATGTTTTTCCTTGATTTTTTCTCACAGAAGTTTTGGTAGTTGGTATAACTATGAGAATGATACGTTGTTAAGACGTTGTTTCTAGTTATAAATAGGTTTTTTGACAGATTTCCATTTTGCAATTTTTTTCCAGAAATGAATTTATTACAAGATATTATTAATGATGCCTCAGTCGTAGCCAACAGTTTATCACCAGAAAAGTCTCCCAGAAGGTACCTACAAGCAATTATTCTTGTGATAAAACCGATTTTTCAAAAATAAATAATTCTACTGACTTGTAAAAAGTTTTTACAGTTTAGCTGTCAATTTTACAAGTCAGTAGAGCCAGTAGCTTGTAAAAATCAATTTTCGCTGGTTATGTTTTGACTTGATAAGTGACGTTTTACAAATGAGTGACAAATAAATATTTAAGTAGAACATTATTTTACAAATTGAAAGCTTGGACCAATAATTTAAAACAAAACTTGAATTGTTTTGAACTATTTTATAGTAGGTGCAGTGTGGTCCAAATTGGATGCTTTCTTATGGATGCACCCTTTATTTTTAGAGATAGAAAAAAATGGACCCATGTGCCTGAAGCTCAAATTTAATGGGAAAATTAATAGTAGAAATAAAATTCTGCTATCTCCGAGGCTATCTCTAATTGTTTGGCCGCTAGACGACATTTCTCGAATTTTGTCAATGTCTTCAATGCCCCAACACTTTCTTATTATCAAAGATAAATAATTTTGGTAAAATATTTTTCAATGCACTTTTTTATGTAAAATCCATTGCGATAGACAGTTTTTATAAAGGATGTTTGGTTTTTGTTATACGACACCAAACTCATTTTTTTCATATGGACCACACCCTATATATTTTGAGGTTTTCGAAAAGAGCGTAAAATTTCCTAAATTTTTATATATCACTTGTTATATTTATGTTGAATATTATACAGGGTGTCCGTTGTTCAAGATTTCGTTCTCAAGTTTTTTTTTTCTATTTGGCCCCATAAGATACATTATACAGAGTGGCAAAAAAGTCGCTCATAATACCAGTAACTTTTCAATTACCTTGTGACCTTAATGAAAGTTGCTCAGTAAATTATTTCCCACATTTCTACCTAGACGAATTGTTTCTGCCACTTCTGGTTTGTCAGCTATCCAGACCAACTTTGTTTTTTCAAATGAAACACCCTGTATATGATTGCATATTTGGATTCTATATAAAACTCTGAGCAGATTTCATGTGATATACCCTATACCTAAGTTCAACTGGTTTGGAAATTGGTGTCAAATGATATATTTATAATAGTTTTTGGAAATCTAATCAATTTTCAACTGTCAATACATATTACCAAAACAGTTGAACTTAGGTTTACAGTATTCACATGAAATTTGCTCATCATTTTACGTAGAATCCAAATATGCAATCACATACAGGGTGTTCCATTTGAAAAAACAAAGTTGGTCTGGATAGCTTACAAACCAGAAGGGACAGAAACAATTCGTCTAGGTAGAAATAATTTACTGAGCCTGAGTAACTTTAATTAAGGTCACTTTTTTGTATAATAATGATAATAATAAAGGAAATTCACAACACAAAAAGCAACTTCCAATATTTTTGCAGCTTCAAAATGTTTTTTCTCAAATTTCAAATTGTCCCTCGACATCTTTCTCAACATCATTTTTTGAAAATTGATTTTTGGTTGATTTTAATTTAGTCTCAACTTAATTAGTCCTTTACAAATCTCTTGTTAACAGTTTCAAACCAGCTTGAACAGTTTCGCAAAGAGGGAAAAAAAAAAGAGAAAAATCTGATTTTTTTCTATGAAAATTTCTAGTTTTGCTCATTGTTCTTCTTTTCATTTCAACTATAAACAATATTTCCTTAAAAAAAGTGAGAAAATCTCAAGAGCCTGGAATAGAAAATTCATGAATTTGGAATTGAACAAAAAGATTTAAGAAAATACAATAACATAGAATGTACAAAAATTCTCCTGTGAAAATGTATGACCCCTTTTTAATATAGAAAATTTCTATGTCAATTCTGTGTGCATCTGTAAGCAAATCTATAACTTTCTATAGGTCTATAGACACTGCAAAACGCAACGATTGCCAAACACCCGATCGGAAATATTTACGATTCTATAAGATTTGCTGCACAGGAAGCGTAGAATTGCAAATTGTCGTTTAATATTTATTTATTCAAATTTTTACTAACACCAGTTCGGTTATCAGATGCAAAGTAGTACATATTAACATTATGGTCACATCGACTATTTTATTCAATCAAAAAGATAATTTTCTCCAATTTTTTTATTCTCTTCTGATTTTGATCAATTTGCAATGATTTCCATGAAATGACCACATTCAAAGTTAGGATCTTGTAAACTGTAAAGAGAGAGATACAGAGCTCTGTTAATCATGGCAAAGTTGTGCAATTTCACTCCTTCGCGTTTCCCCATTAATTCTAATCTTCCTGACCATTAAAAAAGTCAATCAGATAAAAAAAATATTTGAAGTAATCGAGATTTTTATCATATTTTTACATGGTTTTATGGTTTTTTTGAAACTATAGCTTCACGATTGCAGTGCATATTTCCATGTTTATGCGTACTTTTGTGATAGTCACTTATCACACAAAAACTTTGGTGAAAAATTATCAAATATTTCTCAGTCTATTTAGTAAAGTAAAACTATTTTCATTTTAGAACAATGACGAAGATAAAAAATAACTGAAGAGCTCAAAAGTTACTGGAAAAGGGAGCCAATATGCATTTATATTATTTGCTTCCTGTTCCGGCAAATATATTTCTCTACAACTATTGAATAATATTAACACTATTGGTTGAGTAATGGCTAAGTCCCACCAAACTGAGTAATGTCATTTCAATCAAGATAATAAAAAATTCCAAATTTAACTGGTGAACGTTTTAACGATTTAAATAATAATTCTGCACATGGTAATGTCCACATTTTTACAACAATTCGATTTGTTTAAGTGTATCCAAAAATGTGCTAAATCAATTAGATGGATGTAGGCGTTTCTTTTCAGCTTCACATGCTGAAAAAGGGTAGATCTATCTTACAATTGGTGAAAAATAAGGATTTTATGCTACAACATGATTTGTTTGATTTGCACTTATAACAAAATCCTTATATTGCACAAAAGTAAACAAAAAATTACAGTTATGTAATTTTTCCCTTATCTATTTGGTAACAAATAATTGGTTTAGCCAAGTTTACTAAAAGCTTATCTATTGATTACCACATACATGTTTACATCAAAAAATAATAATTATTTTTTCTTTACAGCAACTAAAGTTACTGGTACGGTGAAGTGGTTCAATGTGAAAAGCGGATATGGTTTCATCAACCGCAATGACACTAAAGAAGACGTTTTTGTTCATCAAGTAAGAATAATTTCAATAATTTTATAATGAATTGAATGACTCAAAGTTGAGATTTTGTAACTGAAAAATTGCCTAATATTTTTGGCAGAATCCCATCATTGATCTGTCGAGGGTTTTATTATTTAATAAAAAATGCACGCTCCTTAGATCCATCTCTGCTATCATAAGAGATGACTGAGTCATAAGCGTGCTAGATCACAATAACTCCGCTAAGTAGCTGTCTAATAAAAATTCACTTTTCTGTGCGAGTTTTTTAGCTGCTTGACGGGGAACACTTGATTATTTTATTTTCACTATTTGATTGACTAATATTCGTTTGCTTCTCCTAGTCAGCTATCAGCAAGAACAATCCAAAAAAGGCCGTACGTTCTGTAGGGGACGGAGAAGTTGTAGAATTCAACGTAGTAGTAGGAGAGAAGGGCAATGAGGCCGCCAATGTGACTGGCCCCAACGGGGAACCTGTGCGTGGTTCACCTTATGCTGCCGATAGGCGTCGTTATCGTTCATGGTAAGATTTTTTCTCAAAATTTCAAATAATCTAAGAAAAACGATTCTGTTTTGGAAGTGCTTGACATTATTGAAAGCTGCACATAATAAATGTCCACATTCTTATGATATTCGATTTGTTTGAATGTATCCTAAAATGTGCTAAATTATATTGATGAGTGTAGGCGTTTCTTTTCAGCTTGTTATGCTGAAAAAGGGTAGATTTATCATACACTTTTAAAACGTTTTTTATTGGAACTGAATTTGAGTATTCTATAATAGAAACTGAGTCACTTTTTCTACACTTCAGGTACTACCCACGTGGACGTAGCGGTAGAGGCGGACCACCACGCCGCCCGCGCGATAGCCAAAGCGAAGGCGAAAAGGATGGCGCCCAATCTGGAGGCGAGGGCGGACCACCGGGACCACCACGCCGTTACAGACCGAGGAGAGGGCGTGGAGGCTTCAGAGGCGGATATATGAGAGGAGGGTACATGGGACCTCCTCGAGGTATGTGTGAGTACTTTTTTGGCTTGCGATTTTGTTCCAGAAATCAACTTTTTTCTTTTGGCATGAAATATGATTTATTTTGCACTTTAGAATTTCGATATTTGCACCAGTACCAATTTCAAAAGTTTCGCATGTTTTTTACATCTTAGTGTATAATTTAGCATGACATAAAATTGCACATGTCAACTGATTTATTTTCCATAATTAAACAAGTCTTGTGTGGTTATCTATTTTAGATGGTGGTTACCAAGGTAATCCAGACGAGAACGGAGACGCTCCGATGCGCGGGCGCGGACCGCCCCGCCGGTATTTCCGCCGTAACTTCCGCGGTGGCAGAGGGGGCAGACGCCCGACGTCCGAAGACAGCCAGGGCGGAGGCGGCGGCCAAGGTCAGGGCGACCAGGGCAACAATGTTGGTGGCTCGAGGCCGCGCTACCGCAGGCAGGGAGCAAGGCCACGTAACGCCAACTCCAGCTCAGATGGAGGCAACGTCGCCTCAAAGGTAATTTATTTGTTTTTATTTATTAATTTATTCACAACCCAGAACCCCTATTTTTGAAATTTAACACAAATTATATTTTCGATTCAGAAACTTGTATTTTTAAAAAACATTTATTTTATTAATTAAAATACAATGATGACAAAAGAAAATGTGTAAATCAAAATTAACATAGAAAAGAATTATTAGTAAAATGATAACAAACGGGCTTACAATATAACTCACACATACATAGGTAACAAGATTGAGTGTTTTTACTGACTAGATATTTTTTTCTTATTGTTTCAGGCCCAAGATAACGCACCTGTCAAGACTGAAGAAAGTCAGCCCGTGCAGAATACAACCACCGAAAGCACGGCTTAAACAGCAGTGTAATCATCACATAAATATTTACAACTTTATTATTATTTTTTTAACAACTAGGCGTGTTATAATTTTAATGGCAGACAAAAGGCGTTTCATTGCACGAGCGATACTTCCTTCGTCAACTATTTTAATTTATTTATAAAATCTATAAGATTCATTGATTGGTCACCTTTTTTCTCTGCTTTCATGATGGTTTTCGTAACAAACGTTTTGATACTTTTTTATAACCCCTATGGAAGTTTTTGTAAAAGGAAATCTGATTGAAAGTAGTAGTGTTTTTTTGAATATTAGAGAACCAATGAAACGTCTTTAAGACCCTATGTCTTGCTGCAAACGTTTGTAACTTTAATTTTTAAAAATCTTGTTCGACACTTTAATTTCTACAGTGCTGGATAAAGCAGATTTGAACATCTCTAACCAAAAAATAACGAGCCTTCCACTTTCAACCGAGGAAGAGGGCTTTAAAAAACAAACAAAAAAAATACAAAAAAATTCGTAAAAGTCTTTATTGAAAATTTGAACAGGTTATTCCTCTATACTTTATTGACTCTACTTTTTACTTGGATATGGGTTTCATGTTTCATACAATAATTTTAATTAACAACAAAATGTTTTTGGGTAGTAATAGCTAATGTGATCTGATATCAATTATTCTTTCGTGTGAAATTGAACCTTGGATAAAATATGTATTTTTTTGATGTATATTTTTGTATCGTAATTATTGCTGTTGTGAAACGATTATTGGGAATAAATACTGTTCACAAATGTGTAGAATTTTGTTTACAATACTTCACAGGATGTCATTAGAATATGTATAAAAAAGTTCCTATGAATATGGATCATTGCAAATGGAAAGGAGAGTGAAGTGCGGTTGTTATTAGCAAAAGAAACATAATTTTTCACTATAGTCTATTTCATTGCAGTTGATAGCTCAAATAAAGCCATTGTGAACAGTATGGTTCACAATCACTTTACATGGATTTAAGCTATCGACTGCAATGAAATAGACTATGGAGAAGATAGATTGCCAATCACTAGGCTCCTAGGAAATTTGATGTATGTATATATTTTACCTCCACCATTTTTTAAACACAAAAATCAGTTTGTGACGCGTTTGAACTAGTTTGAAGTGATTAGTTAATTGCTAGAAGGTAAAATCAGCACTAAAGACTACGGTGACGAAATAAAAAGCTGCGAGAAGCGGGTCGGATCTCTCTCCCTCGTCTATCTCTCGCTGTCTGCCCTGACCTCGGCCGTGAGCTGAAACCAGCAGCGGGGTATCTTTTTAGACAAAACTTGGATACAAAATAAACTAAATAAATATGCCTGCTGGCCGTACGACAATGAACCACGTGCTTGGCGTTCGGCAGCAGCACCGATCGATACGATACTTCGGTTAGTCTTCAAAATTGGGTTTGTGCGCAAATGACGACACCGTACTCTTTAGTCTTGACGCGGACTCTAGTTGGTACTTGGCAAATCAACGCCTGAAAAATAAAAATCTAGTGAATTAAGACTGAAGATTTTTGGTGTCCAAACTCTCATCCAACGATCTTCAAAAATCTGATTTTATTTTTCACAAAATAAGGTTTTGCACCATTAATAATATTGAGGTTTTCCAATTGTTTTGAAGCGTTCCAAAATGCTGCTGGAAAATGTTTTGGAATGTTCTAAATGGTTTATTGAAGCTCTAAAGTGTTTTTACTTGGCTTGAAGAGTTCTAGAGTATTCTAGAAGTTTTTCAGTAATATTCTAAATCCCTATTGAAGCTCCAAAGTGTTGTAAATTGGTTCAAAGGAGTTCTTAATTGAATCCTAATTCTTTTACAATAACTCTGTTTCTAAATTGTTCCAAAATGCTCCTGAAAGTTCTACAGCAGCAATCAAAGTTCGTTCCTAAACTTTTAACCTGAATCCTAAGATTCTGGCGCTTTTCAAAAAGTTTTTGGAGAGTTTTTTGCATTCAACTAATGAAAAATTGTGCATATTCGTTTGAGATTGTGCACATGCTTGAATGTGACGTGAATGACGTAATTGATAGGTAGCGATATCTCTTGGCAAAAAAATTACAGTGATTCGCAATAAACCTTTTTACCAAGTGATGACAATGGAAGTAAGCCGCCTATTATGTGGCTCATGAGGATATAGGAAAATCGAAAATAGAAGTAAGCCACGTCCCCGCCGCCATTTTGGGAATCGCGACCATATTGTGTAGCACTATTGTCGACGTCATCAACAAATATCAGCCGTTTGCGCCAGCGGTCATAGTTTAGAATATAGATATAAAGTCCTTTTCTTACACATTGCTTCTTATGACAAAAACCGAAATAATTTTTTTCTACAAACGTCACTAAAAGTGTCATTTTTAACGGATGCTGTCAGTGTCTAAAATGCCATTTTATGACACTGGTGTTAGTGCGTTTGTAGAAAAAATAGTGTATGATATTCGTGCTAAAAGTGATTTTATTTTGTTCAAAGGGATGGAACACTCCGCCTTCGGCGTCGTGTCCCAAACTTCCCTTTTCAGAAAATAAAATGTCACTTTTAGCACTTATATCAGAAATAACTATTTTTCTCGAAAACTATTAGAGATAAATCTATCGAACTTTTATCATTGAAATCAGAAAAAGCCGAGCTTTCTAATGAGCTATTAATATATAGAGTGTCCTATTGAAAAAAACCAGACTTTGGTCAATATCTCGGAGTTAGGACCAACTAGAAAAAAACTGAGAACGTCACTGAATTCTGCTTTAAAAAGTGCTTCTAGAAAGTTTTTACGGAAATCAATAATTTTCATAAACAAAAAAGTTAAGATGGTGTCACATTATTGCTCAAAATCGAGAATCGCCCTCTAGCGGCTAAACGGTTGAAGATATCAAAATGCGGTTTGCACCAATCAAAATTTCAAGAAATTTGAGCCTCGGAGTGGGGGGTTCATTTTTTTGTATCTTGCTCAGAAATTGATGTTTCCTATTAAAACCATCCAAATTCGGACACCCTGTACATATCATTTTCCGTGTGTGGCTAAATTCAGCTGGTGTAGAAACCGTGGTGGAATGGTAGAAAAAGCAGTGTTGTTAAATTAAACAGGGTTTGACAAGCTGTGGTTTGGCATTGGCATTCAGTGTTGCCAGGTCTACTGATTTTTCAGTAGATCTACTGATTTGGCCATTGGTCTACTGATATACTGATATCAATGTGAATTCTACTGATAAAAACAGGTATTATTTAACCGCTTTTTATGATATTTTTTAAATTATAATCACGTATGAGAATGTCACAGCAATAATTTCATGCTTGACCTGTGGGCTAGAAGTCTTAGGAGTGTACTCGAAATAACGCCCGATTACTCCGATCAGTCCGGTGTGGTATGTATCGGAACATTCGAACGCTCGCAGTGCAGGCGCAGCACTCAGCCTACTGGAAAATAGGTATTCCCCGGGGTTCGTGCGTGCTTGTGTTTGTATCTTGTTTACTTGCCTTTTGTCTTGCCCTTGCCAGTTGCCTAAAGGCATGCATTGTTGTTGGTTAGTCAATTGGTCACATAGCGTTATGGTGTACTGCAGCCTGTTTCAGTTGTTTCACCTGTTTTTATCAGAGACTATACTACTAACTGCATACTACATAAAGTCTGTTTTTTTTTCAAAGATAATTCCCTAAGTCAAAAATTTATTAACTATGTTGGCAACACAAGCCTTTTCCACATAAAAAATTTGAAAGCATTGACAATTTTACATTGTATTGCCAACATAATGTCATTCTGACTTTTATCTTTAAAAAAAAAACACATTTTAGGTAGTGCATATTGAATAGGAATATTTCACGTCTCTTGATAAACTATTTCCCATAAGTAGTATTGGTGTTTGATTTTCCAATGCAAGTTTTCATAGTCTAATGCACAGTCTAAAGATTTGAAAAAATGTAACTAAAATAATTAATTGAGTATACCCTAATGGTTTACCCCTTTAACTAGGCAACTTATCTGTCTACTGATTTCTACTGATATTTAGACTGGTAGTTTACTGAAAAAACTAAATATGACCTGGCAACACTGTTGGCATTAGTAAATTTTAATCACCGCAACCGTGGCGGTGCACCATTTTAGTGAATTTAGCAACACGCGGTATAAGCGTTGATTATCGTTAAACCTCCCTCAAAATGGTAGTTATGGCGAATTCTATTTGTCTTGTCAGTCAGTGCGCACTGAGTGTATCCGCATCTTTTTCTAAAAGCATATAACATGTAAGGATAAGGATAATTTTTTTTGCACTGGTTCGACAAATGGAAATTGCTATTAGCCTGTGGTACAAACACCGGGTGGGTATTATAAAACTACTTTGAGAGTTAACTTAAAGTTAACTTCTAGAATTACATGTAATTCAAAAAGTTAACTTCAAGTTAACTGTCAAAGCAGTTTTATAATACCCGCCCTTAGTCAAGGCGAGACATGACACGCTGTCTACGTCATCATTGGTTTTTTTGGCGGAAGGTGGGAGGGGGGGCTTGAAATTTGATCTACACAGACCTTATGAGGATAGGCTATCCAGTAGTGGTGTGTACCGAGCTGTTACTTGTTAGGTAGGTTTAGGTTAGGTTCCCGTCTACAGTCTTCATTCTTATCTTTTGCCAGTTATAAGTCTAGAGCTTAGCTTTCAAAATAACAGATATCAGTAACCACAAGAGGCGTACAGTCCAAGGCACAAGGCGAGGTTGCCAAAGGCCAAAGGTTTGCTGAAGGAAAATAATTTTGTTTTGGCTGGATTGTGAAAATTGTGCATATTTTATGGAGATTGTGCATATAGTGCATATTGAGATTAGATTGTGCATAATACGCACAATTGTGCACGTTGGAATATTCCTGTTGGAGAGTGTCATTTGAGCGTATTGGAGCTTCCTAAATCAGGGCGAGAAACGACACGCTGTCTACGTCATCACTGGTTCTTTGGCGTTGCGAGGAGTGGGGAGCTTGAGAATTGATCTACACAGGCCTTAAATTATGAGATTTGCTATCTCGTAGTAGTGTATGTGTATTATCCTTGGTACGGTACAACCAGGCCTAAATAAAAGTGAATAATGGTTTATGTAATGAAAATAGATTCAAAGACGTTTTTCAAACGTCTCATTGAAGACGTCTTTAGAATGCCAAGGCTGGTTTCTCAATAGTTGTATTCCTTTCAAGAGTTTAGAACACTCGGAGTGCGTTCGAAATCACCCTGGGCGTCACACCGAGTGCACACCAGCTATGTAAATATTCATGGCTGGTGTGCACTCGGTGTGACGCCAAGGGTGATTTCGAACGCACTCTCGAGGTACTCGCTCCGGTGTTAGTCGCCCCCGATTTGAAAGGAATAGATGCATGGTGCAACAAACACTTTTCGAGAGGAATAGCGCGTACGCCCCGGAGCTGTTCCGGAGTTCCTGCTAGGGTTGAAAGGAATACAACTATTAGCGAGTCACCTCCGGGTTGGTTTCAACTCCAGAGTAAGCGTGTCCAGTTGCTATGCTTACCCTGGAGTTATGCTTAACCCAGGGGTGACTTATTGAGAAACCAGCCCTTAGTAGTGTGTACCCTTGGGTAGAAACGGCCATTACAAAATATCGTTATCATATCGAAAGTATCGATATTAGAGAGTTCTCGTGCGGTCCAAATTTGAAATACCGTAACGTTATTTGACAAGTATGACAGTTCTTACGGTAGCGTTAGCGGTGCCCGCTAACTAACGGGACTTAACGGATGCCTTACCGTAACGCTATGCTATGTCAAATTTTGTTAACGCTTCATTTACGTTTAAAAAACAGCAACTTCCAAAAATTCCTCCATAAAAAACACCAAAGGAAAATTAATGAAACTCCGGAATTTTCAGGATAAATAAAGATACATCCTCAATCAATCTGGTAGCGAAGTGGCACTTTGGCACGCGTGCTGGGAAATTGATACCCATCCTCAATGCCGTCAATTTTCAGTCTGCTGTGCGTGTAGTACGGTCACATACCATGCGTTCGGTATTTTGATCTGTGTTCTCTGAGCATGAATTTACCGTTCATTTATTTAAAAAGTGAACTCGGTGCAGGCTCATTCACGTTCGTTTAATAAAATTTCGAGCCTCTGATACAGCGTTTAACTGCTCTGTGCGCTCGCTGGTCACGTGATTACGACTCCGCTCTGCTCTTTGAGCAAAATACCGAACGCAAGGATAACCTAAATTATTTTTTACCGTACTGCGCATGACATAAGTCGGCACGCATCGAAAAAGATTGCAGCTTGCAAGCTTGCACTTCGAAGTCGGCGTGCATGCCAGCACGGAATTGAATTGAGGATGCCAACGTTAAACTACATTTTCCTAGCTTGCGTGCCGAAGTGCCACTTCGCTACCAAATTGATTGAGGATGGGCATAAAAAGTTGGTAAATTAGGCAATCCAAACCACGTGACTTTCAAGATGGCGTGGCGGCCACACATGGGCCAAAAAACACAAAAAAATATCTAGATTCTGCCCGATTTATTAGTTTAGGTACCTAGTCAACAAATATTTTATTAAATATTCAAAATCAAAGTTTCAAGCAGAACTCTAAGCAAAATAATTTGAAATACGCATAAAAACACATTCAAAACAAACTGGCTTGGCCGCCACGCCATATTAAATTTTCCTATCTGACAGATGGATTGAATTGCCTAATTAGGCAATTCAAACCACGTGACATTCAAGATGGCGTGGCGGGCGCACATGGGCCAGAAAACACAAAGAAATATCTAGTTTCTGCCCTAATTAATAGTTTAGGTACCTAGTCAACGAATATTTTATTAAATAATGAAAATCAAAGTTGTAAGCAAAACTGTATGCAAAATAATTTAAAATACGCATAAAAACATATTCAAAACAAACTTGCGGTTAGATCAGATCACTCAATTCAGCTGTCAAAATTTAAACAGAATAAGGGATTAGAGGATTTTTGTGTTTTTGTGCCCGAGAACTATAAAATACCATTTGAAATACCGTATTGTTAGCGGTACCGTATTAGCGTAGCGTCTGAGACACGAGAACTTCTATTTTCTTATAATAATATCGATATGAACATTCGAAGTGGTTTTGAAATATCGTATCGATAACTATGAATATCGATAAGTCCTCCCCTAGTGAAAATTCTATTCGCCAAATGCCAAATGTCAACTTGTCTTGCTGCCATTTTTAAGGTCCCCATACACTACGGTGAAACACGACGGTTTTCACCGCCGCGAGGAAACACGTCGTGTCAAAACCGAAGTGTGTGGTAGAAAACCGTCGTGTTTTTCTACCACACACTTCGGTTTTGGCACGACGTGTTTCCTCGCGGCGGTGAAAACCGTCGTGTTTCACCGTAGTGTATGGGGCCCTTTAGAACGGAAAAAAAGAAGAGCCAGCTGGCAGGCATATGTCAAACGTCATTGTTATATTTTTCATTGATGATGCCAAAACTCCTTTCTTTCATTGAATTTTAATTTAATTCATTCATCGTCTGATTACAAAATTGCTACACAATTTTTGTAAAATTGGCCTCTTTTCAGTGATTTCCCAATAGAAAAGATCATACAAAAATGAGTGTCGAAGAGGAAGTAATGAGAATTCAGAAAAAACTGAGCAAAATGACGTCGGAGGATGGAAGTGTAGGTTTTTTTCTGGGAGCATTGTATTTGATACACCCAAGCAGGACACAATACACAATTTACTAGGGAGAATGTTTTATTTATTCAGCATTAAATGTCCTTCTAGATTAGAATCCGAATAGTATATTGATTGATGAACAGAATTTTCGGTATTATAATTACCGGAACTTAAAATATAAAAAATTTGGTATACCTACCAAAAATTTAAGTATGTATGCTGATTACTCTCTAATAATACAATTATGAAACTCGAGTCTGAGACATCAATTTCAAATTTAGAGGTTTTTCATATGTGAAACAAAATCATTAGTCTCTATATTCTAAATTCAAGACCTCTAGATACTCCCAATAAACTGGCACTGAGGCTTTATGAAAACAGTAACAGATATAAATATATAATATTCTAATTATATGTTAATACAAGTGTTAATATGTAATTAATTGAAATTTGAAGTTTATATTCTGTTTTTTCCTTAGTAGGTAGTCCTTAAGGTTATGACTTGTGACCAATGTTCTTAATAGTACCCTTCAGTACTGTTTCATATTTGTGAATTTGTGGTATTTATTCTATTAATTGAATACTTGTATAAGGTCAGGGGGTCAATTCTTGAATATCCTCGCATACGTAAGTTGATTCGAATTCGAATGACAGCAACGTGAATTGCATAGGAAGCATTCGAAATCATTTTAATTTTCGTATGCGAGATAATTCAAGAATTGGGGGCCTGTTCTTGTTCTCACAGAAATCACAATCCAGTCAGAGCGTTTTTGATTAGTGCAAATCGCCAACAACCAGTTTTCTGATTATTTTCAACTAATGAAATTCGCTCAAACTGGTCTGTGATTGTTAATAGTTATATGTTTTCAATTATCCCCAAGAGCCAGTTATTTTCAAAAAATCCTTGGGTGTAATTGAAAACATCCCATATTTCAAAAACCTCAACTATGTAGGTACAATAGGTTACAAAAATGCATATAATTGTAGGATAACAGTGCAATATGCCCCTTTAAAATGCATTTTGTAATATAAATAATGATAACATTTTTATTGTATGTCTCAAATTGAGCATTTGAGCAAATGACAAAAACGGTTCCAATTACTCATATTGATCCTATACATCTAATATATTGGCGAGTCTTATTTCTTCTCGAGTCTTGTTTCTTCTCGAGTCTTGTTTCTTCTTGGTTGTTGCATATGTATTTCGTAGCTGTTTATTTCTTCTGCAGCTGTAATATTGTCTGTTTTCTATTAATTAAATTAATTTTGATTGTTCTACCACCTTAAGCTTACATATTTTTAGGTTTAAGGGAGTTTTTTGTATATTCCTTCACTAGGCATGTGAAAGTCCATCCCAATATTACTTTTAGGTACTTTATGTTTTTATCTTTGTAGTGAGTATCTTTTTATATTGCACCCAACATTGAAACAATTTTCCCTGTTACAATCTCAATATGTTTCTCCAATGTCAGTGTTTCAGAGATAAGTCAACCTAAGGATTTATATTCACACACTTTTTGAAAAGTTCGGGTTACATGGTATTTTCCCTGGTTATTTAATATCCATATAAACTGTTTATGGAGTATTTTTTTCACCTGTAGATTTTCTATGGTTATTGTGTCCCTCTTTGTTTACTTATTTGTTATAAATTTTGTTCATTTCTAATTTAATCTTCGTGGCTTCTTGAAGTAATTCTTTTAGCATGATTTCTAAGTCTCTTCCATTCAGGGTGAATATTAGGATGTCATCAGCGAATCTTGAATTATTGAGGTTTTCTCCATATATTTTGTTCCCTCTATTTTCCCAATGTAATTGCTTGAACATATCTTCGAGGACTCAGGTGAACAGCTAAGGTGATATTATATCGCTTTATCTTACGCCTCTTTTGATATTCACTTCGTTTGTATCTTCATGCACTCTTACTTTCATGTTTGTTGCTTTTTGAATAATTTTGATTATGTTTAGCTGGTCTATCCTAGCTCATAGCTCTTTCTACCAGAATTGATGAATGCTAGCCATGTTGCAATTTTATATTCAGTGATCTTTTCATTCAATATTCTTTATTGTTTGAAGATGTTCTATAGTGCTGTATAATGAAACATTCATATGTAAATAGCAACTGGATTTAATTTTCTGGCACAAATTGAAAAGGTACCTTTGTACTTTTTTTCTATTCTAATTATTATTGCAAATTTTCATGTTGCTTCTATGTTAACTTATCAATTCCATTTTGCATTCTGATTCTCTATAGTTCATCCTCAATTTTTTTGCAGGGACAAGAACAAGCCCTTGACCTACTAAAAGAACTCCAAAACCTGAAAATAAACCTGGACGTATTAACGAAAACGCGCATCGGAATGACAGTGAACGCCCTCAGAAAATCCAGCAGAGACGACGAAGTCATCACCCTGGCCAAGACCCTAATCAAAAACTGGAAGAAATTTTTGACTAGTTCAGATAGCAAATCGTCCGGTGGCTCGTCCGACAATAACAAGGAGAGCAGCAAAAAAGAGGAAAAACGAAAAGAAGAAAAACCCAAAAAAGAAGAAAAAGAAAAAGACAAAAAGCTACAAAGCTCGTTTCCTGCTAGCACTATTACCACTGACTCTGTGAGATTAAAATGTAGAGACATGCTGGCGGCCGCCATCAGAACCGATTCGAAAGATGAAGATTTCGAAGGTTTCCCGTCACCGGACGAATTAGCCGAAGAACTAGAAGAGGCCATCTTTATGGAATTCAAAAACACAGACATGAAGTACAAAAACAAGGTCCGGTCCAGGATTTCCAACTTGAAAGATCCGAAAAACCCCACGCTAAGGGCTAGCTTTAGAGAGGGCGCTATCAGTGCTCAGAGGTTGGCCAAAATGACCGCTGAAGAGATGGCTAATGACGAAGTCAAACAACTTATGGAGAGGTTTAAGAAGGAGACTATTGATGATGCGCAATTGGCCATTGCTCAAGGTAAAGAAAAAACTTCCTAGGTTTTGTTATTTTTTTTTTTATTTCTATGGTAAAGCAGTGTGAAATTGAAAGTAGATAATGATTCCCAGATTATTTTTAATTCCTTATCTATATAATATTCCTTTTAATTTTACAAATTAAATACATATTGGCTTTATGTGAAAGCTCACAAACATATCTTCACGATTAGCAAATTTTGTTGCAAATTTTCCAGGAATTATTATTAATATGACCCCCTCCTCCCAGTTCTAGAAATTAGTTCGAATTGCATCTGAGACTTAAAACTAGACTAGAATCTACTTAATTTTTTTCCAGGTACAAAAACTGATATGCTGAAATGCGGCAAATGCAAGCAACGTAACTGTACATACAATCAACTGCAAACGAGATCTGCCGACGAACCGATGACTACTTTTGTGCTCTGTAACGAGTGCGGTAACAGATGGAAGTTTTGTTAGGCACTTGATTTGTCAAGTATTGATTTTTTTTTTTTTTTCAAATTGTGACTCTTTTTTTTTTGTCTTAATTGTATAATTTTTAGCTTTTGCACTGGTTCTAAAGCCACTTAGTTGTCTCAACAGCTGCTGAGAAACAATCTAAACTAGTGTTTTTTTTTTAGTTAAATACATATTTCACTTTTTTTGTAGATAATGTATTACTTAAAGCAATTATTATTATAACTTTATACATAGCAATTTAAAATTGTATTGCATTAATTACCTCCTCTTAATTGTTTTAAATTTGACTTTTTAAAGGAAAGGTTCTCTTCTCACATATTTCTTTTTTGTGAAGTGAAATAATATGTAAGTTGTTTTAGTTTACGATGTTTGGATCGTGAAAAATATGTATGAATATGTGCGAAATAAAAAATGTACCCTACAGAATTTGAAGTGTTTTATTCTAAAGGATTTCCTTATAATTTGTACTTTTTGACTCAAAAAATGTATGTGATAATAGTGACGTTTATTACAAAATTTTCATCGCGTCTGCAAGCTTGCTCTTCAGTTTAAACTTGCTTGATTTTCAATTTCCTTCCAAGAACTTTTACAGTTATTGAGAAAATTGAAGATTTTGACAGAATTTTAAATAAAGTTTGAAGTTCAAATCTGAGCCTTATTTGCTCAAAAAGTATTCGAGTTATCAAACTCAATTTAGCACGGATTAATAGAGAATTTAATGCTCTTTCTAATGGCAATGCTGTATAATCTATTTCACAATCAAAGAATGAAGTTTTCTTCTTGATTTTTTTTCTCTTTAAATAGGAAATGATGTTGGGTATGGGTATGGGTATTTTTCGACGAATTTAGACCCGCTCTTTACATTGTAATAGCCAAAATTCGAAAAATATTTGTTTGTGGAGTTTGATACCTACAAAAAGACCACAAAAACGTCAAAATCTGTATATAGTATTTTTCGAGATATTTGAGAAAATCTACATAGGGATATTTCCTATGCATAGCATAGCAGGATCTACGTACTTTGATGAACTTTATCTGCTATTACAGACGTTTGAAATATTTGAAAATCAAATTTCCATGCGTACGCTTTCGAAAAATTCGAATTTTCAAATTTTTAGTTTTTTGAATTTTTGACTTTACCAATCGAAAGAGAAAGTCAAATTTAGTGGAAAAGCATTTTCGTAACTTTACTTTTTATGTTTTAGGGCTTGTAAAAAAAATAAAAACGAATTTTGCAATTTTTGGGCTCAGAAAATTTCAATAATCTGACATTGTTTTACAAAATCGCTCATTACTCGGTTATTATTGCAACAAACATGATGTATAATTATATATTCTGAATCAAAATTGAATTATCTCTGAGATAAAATAAGATTCATTTCTCTATCTTGAATACTTCTGAAGATATTGAGGCTCAAAGTTAAAACTTTGTCTCAAACTTTGCTAAAACTTCAAAGCTGATTTTATCGAAAACGAAGCCTTTGGGCTCGGAGTCTCAATAATCTTTTTTGAAGCCCTTATCAAGAGCTATAATTGAGCAGAAGATTCATGCCAATAGCTTATGTAGTTTCCAAAATATGGCCCTTTGAAAAATTTGAAAATCAAATTTCCATGCATACCCCTTTGGAAAAATTCGAATTTTTAAATTTTTAGTTTTTTGAATTTTTGACTTTACCAATCGGAAGAGGAAGTCAAATTTAGTGAAAAAGCATTTTCGTAACTTTACTTTCTAGGTTTTAGGGTTTGTAAAAAAATAAAAACGAATTTTGCAATTTTTGGGCTCGTAAAATATCAATAATCTGACATTGTTTTACAAAACCGCTCATTATTCGGTTATTAGTGCAACAAATATAATGTATCATTATAAATTCTGAATCAGAATTAAATTATCTCTGAGATAAAACAAGATTTATTTCTCTATCTTAAATACTCCTGAAGATATTGAGATTCAAAGTTAAAACTTTGTCTCAAACTTTGTAAAAGCTTCAAAGCTGATTTTCTCGAAAACGAAGTCCTTGGCCTCGGAGCTTTAAATAACCTTTTTTGAAGCCCCAAGATTTAAAATTGGGCGAAAGATTCATGCCAATAGCTTCTGTAGTTTCTAAAATATGGTACTTTAAAATATTTGGAAATTAAATTTCCATGCATAGGTACCCTTTTGGAAAAACTCGAATTTTTAAATTTTTGGTTTTTCGAATTTTTGACTTTACCAATCAAAAGAGAAAGACAAATTTAGTGGAAAAGCATTTTCGTAACTTTACTTTGTAGGTTTTAGGGCTTGTAAAAAAATAAAAACGAATTTTGCAATTTTTGGGCTCAGAAAATTTCAATAATCTGACATTGTTTTTCAAAATCGCTCATTACTCGGTTATTATTGCAACAAAAATAATGTATAATTATATATTCTGAATCAAAATTAAATTATTTTTGAGATAAAACAAGATTCAATTCTCTATCTTGAATACTTCTGAAGATATTGAGGCTCAAAGTTGAAACTTTGTCTCAAACTTTGCAGAAACTTCAAAGCTGATTTTATTGAAAACGAAGCGTTTGGGCTCGGAGTCTCAAATAACCTTTTTTGAAGCCCTTATCAAGAGCTACAATTGAGTGAAAGATCCATGCCAAAAGCTTCTATAGTTTCCAAAATATGGCCCTTTGAAATATTTGAAAATCAATTTTCCATGCATACCCCTTTGGAAAAATTCGAATTTTCAATTTTCAGTTTTTCGAATTTTTGACTTTACCAATCGAAAGAGAAGGTCAAAATTAGTGAAGAAGCATTTTCACAACTTTGTTTTTTGGGTTTTAGGGCTTGTAAAAAAATAAAAACCAATTTCGCAATTTTGGGGCTCAGAAAATTTCAATAATCTGACATCTTAAAAAATCACCCATAACTTGGTTATTATTGTACAAAATATGATGTATAATTACATATTTTGAATCAGAATTAAATTATCTTCAAGATAAAATAAGATTGAATTATGTATAGGTATCTCAAATAGTTTTCAAGATATCAGGGCTTAAATTTAAAACTTTGCTCCAATTTTCCAAAAAGCTTTAAAGTTGATTATCTCAAAAACGAAACGTCAAACCAAAAAGTATCAAAGAACCTTTTTTATAGCCCTTATTTAAGATCTACAATTTGAAGAAATTTCATTTCAATAGCTTCTTATTTGGTTCAGGAGCTATAATTTCTATGCATATACCCCTTTTTGTGTCTAATGGCCGTTTCCACCAACCATTTTAGGGGAGCCCTAACGTTAGGTATTCCCTAAAATGACATTTTTACATGGAGAAATGTCAGTTTAAGGCATACGTATCGTTAGGGCTTCCCTAAAATAGTTGATGGAAATGGTCATAAATGATCATTGTGTTATGAACCAATAAGATAACACAGTGATTATAGGAACATTTAATTATATCTCTAATTTTCTATTATATTTACTATGTATTTTGCAGAGAGGCCTGACCATGCCTTGTCGGCTCAATATGGCTTTACCTTTCGGACCCTTGTTTTATATCCCTCTATTTTCATAAACTGTTAAATTGTCGGAATGATGTCCAATAACTATTTACGTGTCCGAATAGGGTTTAGTTTTTATTATTGTATAAACTTCCCAAAAAAATCCCAAATCATTAAATATTTTAGCACCAATATAAGTAACATCTGTAAAATAGCGTTAAGGTACTTTCAGTGAATAACTAGAGGAACTCCCGCCCTTTCGAAGGAGGTTCCAGGACGTTTCCTTCTTTCAGGAAAGAAGACGAGAAGACATTCAGAATTCCATCTTGACTCTGACAACATCTAAAGTTACCTCTCATAACTGACAAAGTGTCCTTCCCAAAACTTATAAATTTTCACAAATAAACGAAACCTTTTTTTATTAAATCAAAAGATATAGTTTTAATTCTAGTGTAGGTATATTTGGGATAAAAGTCACAGTTCTTGTGGCTCAACTCCTAACATTGGTGCTAGCGGTGGGATTTCGTGGTGTTGCTCGCAGGAGCGCCTAGTACGCATCAACACCCTTTCCGGAAGAAAAGTCCTGGGGCTATTTGAAGGCGCGCCCAGACGCAGCAAGTTTCCTCGGCAAGCAGAGAGCAACTGTTAACTGGTTTGCAGGAGCGCGAAGACGCAGCGGACTGTAGCAGCAGAAGATCGACAACTAGTTTCCAATCCCAGGAAATGAACAAGTAAGTCCTTTCTTTGTTTTCTGTGTGACGCTATTTTCTTCAAAACTTTTTGTTAAGTTAGGAATAAGATTTTATTAAACACGTATTATTATACAAACAGAACGTGAATATTATTATCAATAATTATTATATTTTAGATAGGTACTGCAAATAACAATTATTTATCGATTGAACGTATAACATAATCAATTTTTTTTAAATTACATATAAATTTTGAGCAAAAATGGCTGGTAAAGACGCATTTGACGTTTTAAATCAAATTGATCCTTTTGATGGGCAAGGTGATGCTAATTCACTAAATTTTTTTCTAAAAAGCTGTGATGCGATGATGAAAATCGTAAAGGACACAGAAAAGGCTAACTTAGCTGAATTAATTTTCGCAACTAAATTGAAAGGGAAGGCACAAGAGGTAACACAATATAAAGAATTTGAAAACTGGGAGGAAATTAAAGACTTTTTGATAGAAAAATTCACAGATAAGAGACCTCCTTCTTATTTTTTAAATTTATTAACTAATATAAAACAAAATCATAGAGAGAGTATTAAAGAATACGGTGATCGTATCCAAAAAATTTTTAACAAATATAAAGAAACTTGTAACTTGAATTATATTCCAAATGAAGCTAAAGTACTAATAGAAAATTTGCAATTATTACTAGTAACTAATTTTAGGAAAGGTCTTCAGGACGAAAAAACTCAATTACGCATAGTTGCGGAGAATACCACAAATTTAGAAAGAGTTATATCAGTAGCAATAGAGCTTGAGCTTGAGCAATATGATAAAATGAAAAACAATCAAAATTATAGAAATATGAATGTTGTACAAAATCATGGAAATAGAAATTTTAATTTTAATCAAGGTTCAAGTCAAACTTTGTGTATGTTTTGTAATATGAATAATCATTTGACGTCGCAATGTAGACAACTCCGTAATTTTGAACAAAGTCAACCGAGAAACGAACAATTTTCATCTTCTCGACAAAGAAATTTTAATTCAAATCAGAGCAATCACAATTTTTCAAGAAATAATTCCTATTTACCAACGCCAAATAACAATATAAATCGTCCTTTTTCCAGTGGTTATAATAACTACGGTCGTAATTACCAACAAAATCATTCGTACCAAAGATTCCAAAATCAAAACTCTAGACGATTCAATTCCAACAATTACTACAATCAAAGCCAGTTTAATAATCAACGAAATTATCCCATTGAAAATGCACATGACCAAA